TTTACTTTTTTTTTAAAGAAAAAGTATTAAAAATGGTACTTTTTTGTATATTTTAGTCTGTGGCTTGTATGACACTTTACCAAATGCTTCACTATTTTATCCTACTTAGACTAAGCCAAGTCAGTCCAGCTTACTCTATGAAACTAGTTCAGACCGAGATAGTCCAATGCAATAAGCGCACTATGAGTTTACATCCCACCTTGGATTTTATCATAACGAGATTTTGTGAGTATTACTACCCACATAATTCGATAAACCTCTTTCAAAAATTCCTATGCATTCTGCTGTTTGTTTTGAGATTTGTATTCGCTACTTGTGCCAACTAGACGAAACGACTTCATCTGCTTCTACAATTACCTAAAGATCTAATGTGTTATTTGTTTGAGTATTTGCACAGTCAAGGGAGAGTGTTGTGAATATATTTCTAGAGCATGTGTGGTTTTGTAAATCGATAGTTGGTTGTAATTAGGATACTAGAAGATTCTTTCCCCTTATGATTGTATTATTTATAAGACAAGAAATCCTCCTTAATTTACTTTAAATATAGGTACAAGGTATGAGGAATAGCGCACAAAATTTCTCAAGCCTATTCCTCATCTTCCTCTTCTATCTATGACGCACCCTCTCTTCCTCACAACAGTATTCAATATTTCATGATTGTTAACCAAACATAAAAATAAAATAGTAGCCGCCTCAGAAATGATTAATTTCTATACATAATTCGACTATGATTTATTCAATCGTATTGTTAAGAAATGCGAAGAGTACTGTAGAAAAATAAAAGAAAGCGAAAATCTTCCAAGTAAAACAAGGCCAACGTCTTCCCAAACCAACGTCACAACATAAGAAAATAGTACGTAATATCAATGGTTGCTATTTTGAACCAAAAATGATTGTAGCCGCCTTGCCGGTAATGATGGTGGTCATGGGTTCCCATGTGTGGGGAACTCGGAGTCTACCGATCTGGGTCTGCCTCCCTCCCTTCTTGCGTTACACCCCATTAACCCAAAGGGAAAAGGAGGGAAAATTCTTAATCTCTTGATTAATCACTATTTTATTCTTAATATAGTCTAATAACATATTAATCTTAATTATTGATGTAAATGTTTGTCTTGTTACTTCCAGTCAACCGTTTGCACCGACCAGTTGCCTTCGCAGCCAACTCCTTGTTCGCTTTCAGATAGAGACAGAGAAAGAGAGGGAGACAGAGAGGGACAGAGAGAAAAAGAGAGAGGAGAGAGAGAGAGTGCGGCTTTTATGCCATATTCCTTCAAAATCTCATTGAATTTCAGGGCATCATCTTGAAAGCCCGAAGCTTTTTTTGGTCAAGTCTGAGGTCTTTCAAGCTCTTTGTCAAAAGGGTGTCCTTGTATGCAATCTTAATCCATTTTTCTCTGAATTTTCTCAAAATTTTTCGGGGATTTGAATTTTTTACTCATATTTTTTTGTTCACTATTGAAAGTTGGAAGCTTTAGATTTGATGGGTTATGAAGCTCAAGTCTGGATATGGAGGATTCATTGTCTCCAGCTGGGTGCCTAGCTTTTTGTAGAATTAGAAATTAATCCTTTTGCTTATTATTATTATTATTATTATTTTTTGGATTTTGATCAATGTTTCCGCAACTGGGTAATTCCTGGAATTAAGTTTGGACTTTTTGAGAGATTGGGTAATTTTGGTTCAGAATATTTCTCGCTTTTGATAGTTCTGAGCAATTTTACTGTGTTTGGAGAAATTGGGTACGTTTTGATATGATTTCTCCATAGGATTGTGCAGTTTGTGCAGGAGAATCAACCCGATTTCGGGTTCTCTTAATAGGGTGGTTTTGGGGTTCTTGGATCATTTATTCATAGCATTTGTCAAGCTTAGACAGAACTGCATAGATTTTGGAAGCCATGGATAATGTCAATGAACTGTCCCTGAGCTTTTCCTCCTCCTCCTATCTGTCAAATGGGTCCAGTAGTAACCATGTATCTGCCTCTTCCTCGGCCAGTTCTCAACCCGCACCGAGTATTGAACATTATTTGAGTCTAAGGAAACTGAGTGATAATCTTGAGAGACTGTTACTTGATCATGAGTATGACTATAGTGACGCTGAGATTGTTGTTGAGGGAAACACCGTGGGTGTCAATCGGTGTATATTGGCTTCCCGGAGTCAGTTTTTTCAGGACCTTTTTAGGAAGGGGAGTGATGATGCAAAGAAGGAAGGTAAACCGAGGTATCTCATGTCTGAATTGGTTCCAAACGGCAAGGTTGGCTACGAAGCCTTCAAGGTTTTCTTGAACTATTTGTACACTGGGAAGCTTAATCCATCTCCTGTAGAAGTATCCACGTGTGTTGATGATCGTTGTCCGCATGATGCGTGCGGCCCTGCTATCAGTTACGCTGTGGAATTGATGTATGCTTCTTCCACGTTCCAGATGAAGGAGCTTGTTCAGCTTGTTCAGGTTTGTTCAAGCTTTGATTTCTTGTGTTGCTCTTTTGCTAATGATTGTGTGCCGTGCAAGGTAATTATTTGTGTTCTCTCGTTGTCTGCTTGCAATTTGTTGTAGACTTTTTATACTTACAGCCTGAAAACTTTGCAGACTTTTTGGTATAACTTATTTTACCTCTGCAAGTTTAAGATTTTAACACATTCATATAGCAGGATTTATGGTTTCATCGATCAAATGCCTATATGTCTATTATTACCTGTTGAGTGGCATATGTATTCAAGTCAAGAGTAAGCAAGTATTGTTTATATTAGGTATGCCAACACTAGCCAACGTTTAGGTGGTTTGTGCTGACAATTTCCATCAATTTATGCAGCATCACCTTTCAAACTTTGTTGAGAAAGCGCTTGTTGAAGACGTAATCCCAATTCTTGTAGCTGCCTTCCACTGCCAACTGGATCAGCTGCTCTCACACTGCATCCAGATGGTAGCAAGTTCAGATCTTGACATCATGGCGATAGAGAAAGAGCTTCCGCATAAAGTTTCAAATGATATCAAATTGATCCGTCCCAAACCTCAGGAAATGGAGCCGGTAGAGGATAAGAGAATCAGGAGTATCCACAAGGCATTAGACTCTGATGACGTTGAACTGGTTGGGCTTCTTCTGAAGGAATCTGGTATTACATTAGATGAGGCTTACGCTCTCCACTATGCTGTTGCATACTGTGATCCTAAGGTTGTTAAGGAGGTTCTTGGTCTAGGCAAGGCTAACCCCAACCTTTGCAATTCCCGAGGGCATACTGCACTTCATGTGGCAGCTAGACGTAAGCTGCCAGCAGTTCTTGTTCCTCTTTTGAAATGGGGAGCCTCTGCCTCGGAAACTACTTCAAATGGTCAAACTCCTGTTGCAATTTGCCGGAGATTGACTAGACCAAAGGATTTTTGTGAGAACACACAGAGGGGACAGGAATCTAACAAAGACCGATTGTGCATCGATCTTCTAGAGAGAGAGATGCCGAGAAACTCAATCTCTGGGAACATGTCAAGCATATCGAAGGAGATAGCCGATGATTTGCACGTGAGGCTGGACTATCTAGAAGATAGAGGTTATCATTCTTAATTTGTAGATTAAATCACCCTTGGATTACATTCGAGTTCAGGTCATGAATTGTGGAAGTTGTGTTAAGTATAAAGTCAAAATTACAGGCACATTCGCCTGCCTCATTCTTAATGCCAGCAAGAAATTTACACTCACTCAGTTTTTTACTCTTATCATCGAAAAAAATGACTAACAGCTTTCCTAATTTTTCAGTGGCATTTGCACGGCTGTTGTTTCCCGCTGAGGCCAAGCTTGCTATGGAAATGGCAGATGCTCATTCAACATCAGCGTACACTGGCCTTACAGCATCAAGAGGATCAAGTGGGAACTTACGAGAGGTTGATTTGAATGAAACGCCCTCTGGACGCACCAAAAGACTCCAAACAAAAATGCAAGCCCTTCTTAATACTGGTATGACCATTTAACCTCCGACATATATCCTGAACCCTCTGATTACATATTTTCCTAGAAGCGTGTTATGATGTATGTCAAGTTTCAAGCATTGTTTCATGCCGAACCTCTTTGAAAATTATCAAATGCTTTCGTTATTGGTCTCCGTCTACCTTCCCCACTGCAATGGCGAAGTTAGTATTACCAAATGCTTTCGTAATTTGTTTCGTGATTTATTCTTAACAATCAGTAAGTTATTTGATATGGTGGTGGCAGTGAAAATAGGGCGGCATTTCTTCCCCAACTGCTCGGAAGTGCTTGATAAGTTTTTGGAGGATGAGTTGGACATGCCGGATTTCATCCTCGAAAAGGGCACTCCCGAAGAGCAAAGAATCAAGAGGATGCGGTTCTTGGAACTTAAAGAAGATGTACAGCAGGCATTTTACAAGGACATAGCTGAACAAAACCGGTCAGCTTTGTCATTCTCGTCATCGTGTTCATCTTCCCTGAAGGAGGGGGTAAAGCGCAAGGTTAGGAAAAGGTGCTGATTATATATTTTGCAGTAAACAGTGAGAGATTTTGATAAATTTTAAGTTGTATTTTTCCTTCCAAATAGAATGAGATATATGAATCTGTAATTTATAGCTTAAGGTATTGGGATTGTGCTTTATATGTTTGTTCTTCATGTTTTCAGTATGTTCTGATACTTTATAATCTATATGTCATTCTATTTTGCAATTTTGTATCTCAATACAATTATGTATATCACTTATATATATATATATATATATGTTAAATAAGAATAAGGTCCATCTAGTCTGCGTAGGCCCTCGCGGAGGCATTAGGTTCCAGTTCGCGGTCCAACTAACGTATAGCGTCTTTATTTAGAACATTGCTATCAACCACATCATGACAAGCACTCCCAATACACATTAATGACTACCACTAATTTGTAAATTGACGGCTATTTACTGCTGTTAAATTTTGTATTTAAATTTCATTATACTTTTAGATCAGCAAAAAAATAAACTTGACAAATCGTTTTCTTTTGGAACAAACGATATTTATCTACACAAAGATATTAGTAAAGAAAAATTAGTATAAAAAATTTACTTATTTCAACTTGAGACCCAACTTTAAGTTGGACTTTGTTTAATAGGGTAAGCTAAAAATTTAGAGATTGAGACCTCAAAATACCATCTAATTAAATATCTAATTAAACATCTAATTCATCTAGGCACCAACTGCTTAGTTAATTTGGAGGGTCCTAAAATGGCCCTTCCATAGGCCACAGGCAATGATGCTAACTTCTTTGCTTTTCCCACATATGCCCTTTTTGTGAAATTGTCATAACCATTTGCTTCAATTGCATCTAGAATCTGCCTGTACAGCAACAAAGATGCCCATACTGGCCATCTACTAGCTGAGTTGAGCTCTGAGACACCCTTCTCAGCCTCATCAAAGAACATCCTAGCTCTCTTTATTTGTCCCTTCATAAAACTTTGCCACTTGTCAGTCACCTTCCCACGAAAGATGTCATCGTCTGATAGGCCGGCTTGGGCAAGCTCATCTTGTGGGAGATATACTCTTCCTCTCCTAGCACTAAAATGATCAATTCAAAGAGCAAGATTTTAGTTAGGTATGATGTGCAATGTTCTCTTGCCAAATAAATGTTTATATTGTCAGACTGTGAATCTCGACAACAATCAAGAAAAGATCAGACTAATCAATGGTTCATACTCACAGTCTGGCAACACGAGTTTCTAAACATGTAATGTTTAAAGGGACTCATGTATTATGAGACGAAACTTACTCTTCTCCAACATCTCTGAGAATGTTAGTGAGCTGATTAGCAATTCCAAGGGCCAATGCAGCATTGTAAACACACTCTGTTGAGGCCTTTGATTCCGGGGATATCCCCATTACCGGAACACTCATCAATCCAACAGTTCCAGCAACATAGTAGCAGTAAAGGTAAAGTTCATCAAAGTTCTGGTATCTTGATTTTCTCAAGTCTAATCTCATTCCTTCTACCATGTCTTTGAAGGGCTGTCAAAATATCAAAATTTGTATGGTGAATCATTCAGTACGTCCAAATTTCGATAGATTAAAGAGAGTTCTAATTAATCTCTGATCTTGAGCATGTGGTATCTATACCTGAATGTCAACAGGGTACTTGGTGACTGTATCAGATAGAGCAGCATCATACATATCGTAAGGCCGGCCTTCGAAGAGATCTGTCAGTCTTTTCTCCCATCTGTCAAGAGCTTTGGGTGTAATGTATGAAGCATTAGGTCCATCCACTAGCTCATCCGTCCTTCTGCACCACACTGCAGAAAAAAAGCAGAACTCTTCATTTAGAATTTACCAAAAGGGATGGTACTAATTCTGGCACAAATTCTGTGACTGTACTAACCATAGATTGCCCAAACAGCTCGTCGCCGCTCCGGTGTCATGAGCAATGTCCCTGAAGAACGCAGAAAGAAGTTGCTAAATACAGTTTCCTTCCCATTCATAAATATCCATTTCAAGTGAAAAATGGAAGCAAAAATAATTCCAAATTGTGCTGCCTACAACAATTGTTAGAAAACCTAAAGTTAAACAACATGGAATGTGAAGAAGCACTGCCTATCCTTAAAGATTTGATAACTTAGAATCTGAATCTTCATTACTTTCATTACATTACCTTAAACAGCTATCTCAACTACAAGGCGAGGAGAGATTTTTCAGTGTGCCGGAAAAATGGCCGGATACATTAAGTGTAATAATACAATTAGTTGGAAACATGAAAAAAAAAGAATTAAAAATTCAACCAATTGTATTATGACACTTGTGTACCAGACCGTGTTCCCGACACACTAAATTTTTTTTTCCAAAGTGAGACAGACTAGCAACCACTGCAATCCTATCCAAAAGAATACAAAGAACCGTTTTATTTAGTTACATTTGAGCATCTAATTGCCCTCAAATTTCCTTTTCAATTTCTCCATTTTCCATTACTTAGAATGCAAATTTGAATTAATCAGATTCTTAACTTCCGTGCGTTTACAAAAACATGATTATTGAAATGATTCCAATTGCCAACTTCTCTTGCGTTACTCGCATACATAGAATCAGAAAATAGTCGGAATTTCACATTACCATCCGCAATCAAATACCCAAAAAAATTTAAAAAAGCGGTCAACTAGATTAACTATATTTCCTTCTTTCTCTTCCCCAGTTCATGACTTTCCATGTAAGTGTAGTGAATGATAATATAAACTACTTCCCAAGACTCACGTGTGAACGTTTCGAATAAAAAAGCGATTCAAGATGTGCACTCAACTGCTTGGGAAATAAAAAAAAAAGAATACAAAATCAAGTGGTCAGTCCACTTTATTAAAACAGTGTAATTAGTATATCCACGAAAATGACCGGATCCCATTAAACAAAACACCAGAAAAACCAAAGAGAAATGCTGAGACTGACTCTTTTACACAAAATTTTATAATATTGGTATAAAAATTGACGTTAAACTGTAAGGTATCGGAGAGTTTATTGAGAGTTACGCTATGAGAAAGTCTCGTTAATGTTTCTCAAAACTAAACAGATAAACAGACAGTAAAAGCAGAACCACAGAAACAGACGAAGAGAGCAGCAGAAATCCAGAAAAGTTACTTACCTAGGTAAAAAGTCTTGGCATACTCTGCACAGACCTCACCACACCGGTCATACGCCTTATTCAGTAAATCCCAGTTGTTCAAACCTTCAGTATTCCGTTCATCCAAATCCAAAGATTTCTTTTTTACCGTGTTCGGTTCTCTCACTAGAGCAGCCTGCTTCAGCACCACTTCATAAACCTTCTCCTCTGAAGATCTGGCTGGGTTTGCAACCGCACCCGAATAGGCCAAAACCCCACTTGAAAAACCCAGCTTTGAGCACAATTTAGACCTCCTTGGGGTGCAAATTCTCGGCAACAGACCCAGCAGAGAGCTGGCATTCTCTTTGGGACTCACCACCCAGAGAAGAACACATGACATATCAAAAAATAATAATTAATCTGCTGGGTTTTTGGGTCTTGAGTGTGAGGGTGGGAGGGAGGGAGAGGGAGTGAGGGCGCCAGCTGTGAGGTTGTGGCTTCTCTTATAGAGATTGGAGGGTTAGGCAAAAGTTTTGAAGGCAGGGGTGGTTGGCAAATGGGTGTCCAGTAGTTTTTGTGAGACTATTGTAAATATATATATATATGCCTTTTATCCAAAGGAATTTGTAAATTTCAGTTCATATATCATCTTTACAAAAATTTAATTCAATCTAAAATCATTTATCAATTTAATTATCAAGATAAAATTTTATTATTTATTATATAACAAAGTATTTGTTAATTTTTTTAAACTCAATGAGATATCTTAAATATTTCTGATTTGGCTAATATTTTGCAAGGCTGCACTATAAGGTGCAACTTAGGAAATAGACGATTCTAATCGTTAAAATTCTATGTAGTATGAACCTCACAACTAATCCTCATTTTTATAAAAGAATAAAGATCCTTTCCCTTGTACGCTTTGTCTATATATATAAGAAACGTTTCTCTTTGGTTCCAAGGGTTAATACCGATGTCCATGTACTGAGAGACGAAATGGCCTTTGTCATACAAGTGAAATTCAAGGTATATGCTTTTGCCGTTTTGGATAGATGGAAATATGTGGACAGCGTTTGTATGACTTGTGTGTGTTTATTTTTATTTTTCATTGTTGTTCTTTTGTTGAGAATAGGTTAGCATCGTCAGCGGGCGTGGATGGAGAAGAGTCCCTTGATTGGTACGGGACATACCAAACGACGGTTCAAAATAACTTTATTTGAGCATGAACGTAGCGAATTATGTTATTTTTTGTATATCACTGACAGAATATTTGTTTTTACAAATTATAAAGTAGTGAAAATTATTCCAAGGGTTAATAACGATGTCCATGTACTGAGAGAAGAAAAGTTATGGCCTTTGTCAAACAAGCGAAATTCAAGGTATGTGCTTTTGCCAGTACATGGAAATATGTGGACAGCGTTTGCATAGACTTGTGTGTTTATTTTTATTTTTTATTGTTGTTATTTTGCATTAACATTTAGATCTGGTTTGGTATTGAGGTGATTCTGAAAAAAACTGCTATAAAAAAAAGCTGGGAGCTGTTTTTGTGTTTGGTAAACACTCAGCTTCAGCTTTTTTTCACAGTTTTGGATGAAAAAAAGCTAAAAACAAGAAGCTGCAAAACCCAGCTTTAAAAAATCGGCTTTTTTTTACATCTGTTTTATATAAAAGTTTACCAAACACTCTAATATTGCTTTTTTTTTTTTCAAAAGCACTTTTACAAAAAAGTTTACCAAACACTCTGCTGCTTTATTTCACAGCTGCTTATTCTCACAGCATAACAGAAGCAATTTTTTTTCAAAACACAGCAATACCAAACCAGTCCTTAATCTTTCAAATATTGCCCACTTTGCTACAATCGTGTCTACCCAGTGGGGAAAGACACGTGTGCGTTGTCGAGGGCTTTTACTTTCAGTTGTTGACATTCTGGTGGGGAGACTTTTATTTTCTGCTAATTATATTTATATATACTAAAACTCAGTTCGAAATTACTGTTTATTAACAGTGATTTGACGAAACCTCTCATTTGCTGCCTAATTCTCGGGCTTTTTCCTTTGTTATACAGTGAAATCACGTATTTGCCCCCATTCTGCGCGTGTTGGTTATCGTGGGAAGGACGGCTGGATGTACGCATGTTAGCCATCTGGGAGGGGAATGAAGTGTTGGTAATGGTGCAAGCATATGTTCTCTTTGAGATCTCTCGAGCTCTCTTAAATGTTCCAATAACTTTTCCATTTGCTTCCTATTAATCTCAACCTGAAACCAACAAATCCCAAAAACCCTCAAGCCCTCCAACAAAATCGGAAAAAACACCATATTTGCCCAAAATTTTGAATTTTCTCAGGAGTTCTCACCCATTCCTGAGATTTCTTTGGTGGGTTTTGGTTCTCTGGTCCCGTAAGGGCTTTGGTAGCGTATGAAGATCGATGACAGTGATCGGAGTTCGTCACATGACATTGTGGTAAGCTATTGAATCTAATTGGCAATTTTTTTGTATGATTTTTGTAATTGGGATGTTGGGGTTTTGGGATTAATTTGTTTGGTTTTTGTGTGGATGCAACTCGGCAACGAACAGGTTGATCACATCCTGAGTTTTCCGACTGATATATTCAATCCTATCGGTCCTGATTTTGTCCCTCCATAGCATTTGCAGCACCATCTGCCTTGCTCTCATCAGAGCTTGGCCTTCAGTTCCTCAGGTAAAGTTTCCACCTTTTTTTTCAGGGGCATATTTGGTTTGTGCAGATTTCATTTGAACTAATTTGGGTTGTGCATATTTGGTATGATCTCTTTGGGTTGCATATTTGGGTTGTGCATACTTTTGCAGTTGTATTTACTACTGTCCAAAAGAGTACAACAAAGGGGTCAATTTTCTCTTGGAAACACCTCAAGCTAGGAACAAGTCGGGTATCCTCTTGAAAACATTGTTTAGCATGTAGCAAGCTTTGTTTGACTGATATACTCTCAATATTGCATTTGTAATTTTTTCATTGGTCCAACCTTTTGAATAAACAATTACCTCTTCTTCGGACTTTGAAAAAATAGATTTGTACTTTTTCTTTTAGTATCTAAATTTGTTCCGTTCATGATAAGGTTTAGCAAAATATTTCATATGATTTTCAATCCCACAGCATCACGCGGGTACAAATTTCTAGTACTTATCCTAAAAGGGAGTATTTTACTTTTGCTCACGACCATAACTATGGTGTATGCTCATTATCTATCTAATTATCTATCACGTGTCATTTCACCTAACTCTATTTAATTTTCATAAAATGTTACTTCTTCAATTTTGAAAAAAAAAAAATCAACCAAAAATAAGTGAAAGAATACGTGATAAATGATTAGGTGTATGGTGAGCATTCACCATAGTTTATAGTGGTGAGCAAAATACTCCCTAAAAGGTGTACCTTCGTGTATAGTTTATAACAACGAAGAAAGTCAAGGATTACAAGTGCTCAAATTAAAAGCTCAGAGAAGGTCACAAATGCATGGTTTTTGGTAGAAAATTTCAACAAAAGTACGTTTTAGGGCTTCGTGCATGAAAATTGCCAAAAAGTAGGGCTTCCTATCAAAATCAAGAAATCACGATAACATAAGAGGGCTTCGTGCCGAAAGCCTCATGCGAGGATTCATCAACAGTTCAATCAAAATCACAATATCAGGGGTTGAAATATGTACAAATTATAATTGAGGTTCATGTGTACTATCTAAATAAATATGCCTCGAGTTTAGGTGAACAAAAAATTATTTTATATAATTGAACATGTATAAGTACGCACAAAAGAAAAGTTATATGCTACTAAATAATATGTATTGTGTTGATAGAACATTGTTTTCTTGTGCAGTGGTAATGTGGTTAGAGTCTCTTCAACGCACCTAATAAAGCACATATGAACTCTAGGTCCCAACCTTTAAGCCTTTCTTTGCAATTCTCGCCCCCTCCAATGGCTTCGTTTCGAGTCACTGAATCTCAGAGATCAGTTGGCCTTGAGTTCATACAATCCAAAAACAATCAAAACCATAACCATAATTCCTACATTTAATACTAATTAACATGATTTTACAAGTCCGTTCATATGTTTATGAGTTTAGAATGAGAAAAACTCGTAACACAATGTTAACTTTGCATTCGCAAATTTTATATTTCCCAATGTAAACGTCAACGTTTCATAATTATTTCCTAATTAATATAGTTTGTCAACACGCATAACACATGCTGTCACATCCCGGTCCGGGGCGAATCACTTCCCGGGCCTGCTCTACCACCGTAGCACGATATTGTCCGCTTTGGGCTTACCATTCCCTTACGGTTTTGTTTTTGGGAACTCATGAGTAACTTCCTAGTGGGTCACCACTCATGGGATTGCTCTAGCCCCCTTCTCGCTTAACTTCGGAGTTCCTACAGAACCCAAAGCCAGTGAGCTCCCAAAAAGCCTCGTGCTAGGTAGGGATGGGAATATACATTTAAGGATCACTCCCCTGGGCGATGTGAGATGTTACAATCCACCCTCCTTAGGGGCCCGACGTCCTCGTCGGCACACTTCCGACCAAGGATTGGCTCTGATACCAAATTGTTACATCCGGCCCGGGGCGAATCACTTCCCGGGCCCGCTCTACCACCGTAGCACGATATTGTCCGCTTTGGGCTTACCATTCCCTCACGGTTTTGTTTTTGGGAACTCACGAGCAACTTCCCAGTGGGTCACCCATCATGGGATTGCTCTAGCCCCCTTCTCGCTTAATTTCGAAGTTCCTACTGAACCCGAAGTCAGTGAGCTCCCAAAAGGCCTCGTGCTAGGTAGAGATGGAAATATACATTTAAAGATCACTCCCCTGGACGATGTGGGATGTTACACATGCAACTAATATAGTATACAATTAACAAGTAGGAAGAAGTTTTAGGATCACAGAAAATTGAGTGGGGCATTCAGATCATATACATTGTCGAATGTGGAGTAATGGTGGACATGAATAGTCTCCGAAATGCCAATCTTCTCACACTTTTTGCCTTTTGGTGTTCTTTTTGCTGCCGTGGGGACTGCTATGTGCATGGACCACCGCAACTTCACTGCACAGCCATATATATTATATATGTGAGAGGGGACCCCATCATTTGTGTTTTTTGGTAAAAGACAACGACCCAATTGGCTTGGGAACTTTAATTCTACTAAAAGAAGCCAATACATGTTTGGGTGGTGGGACTTGGAAGGGACTTGGTGTGTCTCAGATCGATTGGAGGCTGAGATTACCAAGTGATTACTTGGAGCCAAAACGTCGTTTTTCCTGTGGATGTTCTGTCATGTACACTCCCCGGTCACTCGTAATTTTGCGTTTCAGTAGGATGTTATCTTATGCAGTCGGGGACTTTCTAGTATATTATTCTGGTTATTCCATATATATTCTCGAGTTTTCATGTTAATTTTTGGTCATAATATCAGTTTTTTCATTGAAGCGTTTAGCCGAGCATTTGATGGCCACGTCGCATTGCGTAGATTATTCGACAACTTCCAAGGCCTGATGTTGAGGCCTGTCAAGCATCGCCTACCAAGGCTTGCCAAATTCTGTCGCAGAGGCATGCCATCGAACACTTTGTGAACATTTTCAGGCCCTATAGCAGATGGTCATAGGGTTCTCCAGTGATCTTTCCCATATACTCCGACTTAAAAATAGAGTTTTCATGTTTACAGGCAAGATCCAACCTCTCAAGATTTGGAACACCACTGAAATTTGAGGTATTAATCAATTTCGTGGAGATGGCAAGATTGAGATATTTCAACTTGGGCAAGTCCTGTTCAACACCGTAAGGTTCAGATCATATATTTGGCTTCTACAACCTTAAAATTTATTCAAAATAATAAATAAATAAAAATAAATGATTATTTTGTAAATTAAATAGCACTTATTCAAGGAAGAATAATAATTTGGTCCAATAAGAAAATGTCACGTGTTCTTGTTTTTAACATGTCCATTATTATTTTTAAATAATTAAGTATGTGTTAAAATATCATTGGACAAAATTAGAAAATGAGTACTGACTAGGGATTTATTTAATACCACTCTTACCATTTTTCCCTCCCAAAGCCGAACAAGATTGCTATAGGCATGTTAAGTTCAGTAAACAGGTACGGGCGAAAGCTGGTTGGAAGAAACTTGGAAGGATAGGAACTCCAATTTATAATTCTCAAGGAACATGGAAGAAATTTGGGACCTGAAGAAAAGATCAAATTATTGAATTCCAAAAACCTCAATCGATGCATCTTAAAGAAGGCTTCGCAATTCCATTGGGGCACCTCTTCTACTTTGGGTAGGCGTAAGGATATAGCTTCAATTGCTCTCGACCCCTAACAATTTAGAAAAAAGGACAAATTAATTTGACAATCAAGTCTAGCATAGTGTCAAAAGAAATCATATCTTCTTTCAAACTTGGAATTTAACTTCTTACCGAATTGGTTGTGAGTATATGAAAAATGTTATCGAAAAGCCACAACCTATTGCGTAGACCAGGGTCTTCAGACTCTTCACGAACAATTGTCCACGCCATTTCTTGCATCAAATCATCCATCCCTATCATGTTTTCATAATTGTATACGAGAAATCTCTCAATTAGTACATCTATCATACTACTACTAGAAATTCCAAATGAATTGTTTAGTATCTAGCATCCGCAATACTTGCGTCACGGGTTTCCCTTTGTGGAGACACGCAACATCGAGAAAAATTCTCTTCTCCATCTTTTCTAGTCCATCATAACTAACTTTGAGTGAATCAAAAACTATTTATTCTACTGGATCTTACGGAGCCTGTTCATATCATACACGACATGATCGGGTCTGATCATAGAAAAGATTCTCTTCAAACGAACCGGCCTATCTTCTGTATGGGGCTTACGCGGTGGTTGGAACAAAGACACATTTTTTTGTTGTGAATTCAAATGTGGCAGATAGATAAGGACATATATCTGCAAGGCCCGATCAATAGTTCAAGTCACACACTCCCATAATCCATTTTATCTTCGGAAAATTCACTTCAACTATGAGTGTCAAAAAAATAATACATTTTTGTAGAGTTGAAGAGAAATATCCCAATACATGTCTTATTTTTAGGAATTTTCCTTAGATTATCTCGTACTCTATTCCATGCATCTTGACCTCTCGCATACAAAGAAGACCCCAAGGTTTTAAGAACTAATGGAAGGCCTCTAGCATAATCTAGGAAATGCTTAGACAGTTCCAAAAAATCTTCCTCAGGTCGGTCTTGTCTAAGGGCGTGCAGGCTAAACAGCTCAAGTGCTTCGGCATCATTCAACACCTCGACATTATGACACAATATTATGTCATGCTCGACCAGCAGACGTTCATTTCTAGTTATAATAATAATTCTACTTCCCATGCCAAACCAATCTTTCTTTCCAGCTAGTACTTGTATCTGGTTTATTTGATCCACATCATCAAGTACAAGAAGAACCTTTTTGTTGCATAAGCATTTCTTCGTGTAATTGATTCCCCATTGTTGGTCTCTAACGTTTTCAATATTTTCTTTCAAGATTGCGCAAAGAAGTTGTTTTTGAAGACGAACTAGAGTACGCTCTGTTACAGAAACCTCTCTAACGTTTTCACGAATGCAGTGAACTTCAAAATGATGGACGATTTTATCATAAGCTAGCTTAGCAAGAGTAGTCTTGCCTACGCCAACCATCCCAGTTATCCCAATAAATCGAACATCATTTGCGTCATGAGCTAACAGCAAACTTAGTTGCTCAAGTGCAGAATCAGTTCCGACTAACATCATTTGTATTGTACAACATTCTTAATTACATGAATAATCCAACCAAACCCATGCAACACGTTCTCTAAAATGTAGTTTTCAATTTTCATGCAAATTTCAATGAGTGCTTAGCTTTGATTTCTCCGCCACCCAATCCAAAGCATGCATAGAAGACTGACTCCAGCTCATTAGTTTAGAGAGCTTGACAATAAGAACCAATAAAATTTGATATAAAAGGCTCGATGGGTTAAGGCAGTGTGCTCATTTTATTATAAATTTTTCGATTTTTGGCTAAGATCAAATGTGCCCGTTTTATTATACCTTTTTCGAGTTTTGGCTAAGATCAAATGTGCGCGTTTTATTAGGTCCAAGTTCTTTCACTAAGGACTGGTTTGGTATTGTTGTGCTTTAAAAAAAAAACTGTTTCTGCTGTGCTGTGAGAATAAGCAGCTGTGAAATAAAGCAGCAGAGTGTTTGGTAAACCTTTTTGTAAAAGTACTTTTGAAAAAAAAACAGTATTATAGTGTTTGATAAACTTTTATGTAAAACAGATGTGAAAAAAAGCTGGTTTTTCAAAGCTGGGTTTTGTAGCTTTGTGTTTTTGACTTTTTTTTACCCAAAACTGTGAAAAAAAGCTGAAGCTGAATGTTTACCAAACATAAAAAAAACTTCAAACTTTTTTGGATAGCCACTTTTTTTCAGAATCACCTAAGTAATAAACTAGGGCTAAATATCGTCTTGTTAAAAGGAACAAAAAAAAAGTAAGATTTTATTAGGCCCACGTGTCATAGTGTGAGGATTTGGTCACACTGTCAATCTTTTAATGGGTTTGGGCTTTCGGATTGGGCTCAAACACGTAATCTGTGGACCTAATAACTCAATGATCGAGTAGTGTCATGAGTGTCCTCTAAACTAATGGTGCAATGAAGGCTTGTCAGCTAAAATAGTATTTGAAATTGGCATAACTCTTCATTTTAACCTTTAATATTGAAATCGATAGAAGTGATCCTTGAATTTCTTCACTGTCAATCATTTTGGTTTTTCTGTGAAAAATCTCCGTTAAATGAAAAAAACAAGTCAAGGGGTTGATTGGACAAAAACACCTTCAATTTAACAGAATTTTTCAGAGAATGACCAAAATGGTTGATGATGGCAAATTCAGTGACTACTTCAATCTATTTTCAATCTTAATAACCAAAATAAGGACTTATGTCAATCTCAATAACCATTTTAGCTAAAAAGTTATGTAGTGAATGAACAACTTCTATATCATATTCCCAGTGAATTGAATGAAAATAACGTTTAGTATACATTGTGGTAAAGCTTTGCTTTTCATGTCCTTTGTTTGCATGACATGCCACCCCACACGGCAACTTTTATCTCCATAAAATTAAAAGGTTGGAAAACCATGGTCCTATGGGATATTAGCTTTTCGTTCGTTGGGTTCCACGTCTAACGCCCAACACTTTAACATTATTACAAAATCATCCCAACTTGCTCCACGTTTCACGACCACAGAGCGAGTACGTTGTACATCGCAATCGAGCGAGTACCTTTTTCTCCCAAAACGCACAAGGCGTACCCGTTTCCCTCGTTTTGTTTGTTCAAAATTCAAAAACGACCCAACAACTCCAATTCCTCTCTCTCTCTCTCTCTCTCTCTCTCTACTGAATCAATAAATCACCTAGAAAGGAAGACCAAGAACAAGCTAGGGTTTTGGATTTCCCTTTTGTTTTTACTTTTTGTTTGTTTGTTTTGAAATCGATGTTATGCTCGCTGTTGAAGCGTGGATTGGGGAATCTGTGCAGATCGGCGTTGAGGTTTCTTGACAGGTCGATTTCGAGAGCTATGGGCTGCTTCTTCGGTTGCTTTCGGGACAAGGACGATTGCCACCTCCGTTCTCGCCCTCACCTCGTCTCTCAGTCCTCTCGTAACCCCCAGACGGTAAGGTTTCCGTTTGGTTGTTTGGTTCCCGAGAAAATCCGGGAAAATGTTTTTCCTTTCAGTGTCTATATTTACTGTGCTGCGAATTGCCAGTTTTTGTGTGAAAATTTGAGGAAACAGAATCAATTAAGTACTAAAGTACTAATCTTGATCTTGAATTAGCCTAAGATTAGGGATTTTAGATTTCTTGTTTTTTCAATTTTGATTTGGGTGCTGCCGATATCATTGCAATTGGAACCCAATGTAGTTTTATTCATTATCGTTATGTTCAATTTCATTTTCTCAGCTTCCAAACAGTAGATTAGTGAGTTATGTATAATTTTAGACTGATTTCTTGTTTTCTGTTTCTTTTATTTTGATCAGGAAGTCGTGATATCTCAAAACCGTTTGTCTTATCTATTTTCAGCCGAAGGTATATTATCTTTTCTCCAAGAACATAAGCTAATTTCTTGAAGCCGATTCTACATATCTCGTGGCTTTTTATTTTCTTTGGTCTGATTATCCTTTTATTGTCTCTGGTCTGATTTGTATGTGACTCTGGAAGAGAAAGAAGGTTCTCCAAGCAAAGATAGGGAAAGTCCGCGTTATGGGTCTCCACAAATTGACAAGGAGCTCAGGAATGAGGTTTGTTTTTTTTCCCCTTTATTAGCTAGCGGATTCAAAGTTTGATGTAGTTAAGATGTTCAGTACAGCAGTTCAGATTAAATTGTTTTTGAGGCCATGCCAATCAATTTTTTTAAATGTTGTAACTTTTTCTCAATCTTTTGAAGTGATATAAGGCTACATTGTTGTAATGTACTCCAATTTATGTTCCGAAGTGTTGCTTAAGTGGAGCTACAAGCATTAGTTTCCGAAGTGTTGCTTTATAAGTTAGAACTTGTGGGAGTCATTGGAGCTTTGACTCCCGTTTTGTGCAGTACGTTTAATGTCATTGTTTCTAGTTACACTTTGGATGCATTTCTAGATTAAGTCTGAGCTATTTGAATTTCTCATACTGTTAAAGATATTGGTTTTATTTATGCAGTGCACCTTATTCTGCAGGCCAAGTTTCTTAAAGCTTGTGGTACCATAGCGGAAACCCCAGCTGAAATTCGTAAAGTATCTTCAAGGTTAAATGGCTCATCCCATCATGATAGAGATTCACAGCCTCCAAAATTCAACTCATGGCTCCCAAACACATCCATTAGAAATCTTCAGCAAGAGTTGGATCAACCAGATCATCCCCTTATGCCTATGAAGTACAATGAAGAGTGGGGAATGGGTTCAGGTCCTTCTGAGCATACGACTAGCAGGTTCTACTTATAACTGTTTTAAAGTTTGAATTGTTACTTACAGATGCCTTGAATGCTTGAACATTAGTATATTTTCTACTTCTAGATGGGATGGGTTTGCAAAACCAGAATTTCAATCTGTCCTCGTATTAGCAATGAAATTTGATGGCCATCTCATAATTTTTCTTTGTAGTAGAGGAAAAATTGGTTTTTTTTTTTTTTTTTTTTTTCTTTTTCTTTTTGTGTGCTGCCTGTATGAGGAACTATTAAGTACAACTAAACATAACTGATTCCAGACTTGAGTTCTTATATTTTATATTTATTTCCACAAAACAACATAGTTTCTGACATTTGCCCAATTTCATTTTCTATCTATAGTTGTGAATTCAACCAACAGAATACTGGTAGGATCGCTATCAGCTCTTCTGGAGGCAGCGCAATAGGTACTGATTCTACAGTGAAGAGTCATACTAACCGGGCTGAGAATATTACAACTCCAGATGTCCAGTGCAGGAGCAAGGCTGTTCGCTTTGAATGCGATAATAATACAAATTCCTCCAGAGGTTCTTCATCCGAAAATTATAACCGGAGTTCAAAAGTATGTGAAACTCCAGGAAAACAGAGCATATCAAAGCCTTCAGTTTATCCAACGCCACTAACTCTTTCAGAGGAGATGCAGACACCAGGGACTGTTTTCCCTGCAAACCTCCAAAACTTTCCAAATGGAAAGGCAAGAATCAGGTCCCAGTATGTGTATTCAGTGCAAAACCCTGTGGACGGCATCTCTCAGTGGAATGCACTGAAAGACGAAGATCCTAACTCACTTGGACATTCTGGTGAGCCAAGAGAATCTCTTAACGACTGGGGAAATGCAACCCCTACATCCGAAGAGGGGTCAAAACAAATGTCATCTGGACAAGAGGTCAATGTGGAATCAAGTTTGTCCGCCTGGCTGAAGCCGGTAACTCAAGATAACAACAATCACTTTGGTTATGTTCCCGGCCAAACTCGTCATTTTGGAAGAACTCCTGTGGACAGGCCTATCATTGGGCTTGTTGCTACTCACTGGAATGAAGATGAACATACTCGTGTCTCACCCAAGTGGTGGGATGGAAACGGAATCCCAAATTCAACAAACAAATACAAGGAGGTTTGTCTGACTACCTTCTACTTCCTCTTGCGTCTTCAATTCTTTTTCTAAGTGACGTCTGAAGTTATTTCTGAATTTGCAGGATCAGAAGGTGAGTTGGCATGCCACTCCATTTGAAGAAAGGTTGGAAAAGGCACTGTCCGAAGAGAGTTTCATCTCGCAGAGGTATTAGAACAGCATTGCAATCTGTTTTCACAATTTTCTTCAGTGCTAAAGAAGCACTGATTTTCCTCGACAGAAAATGTGACTACGTACTTTATATGGTTATGCAGAAAAAACATGGAGGGAAAGCCGATTGTTTTCGACGAGAACGATGAAAGTGACACAGCCCTTTCTCAGTTGCAAACTTCATCCCAGCCGAAGTCCGTGGTTTCATTCTGATGAACATGAGTTTTGTTGCTTGCATTACAAGGAATTTGTTGGTGGTGAAAAAACGAGCTCTTAAAAAAGAAACCCTGAATTTGAAGTTTGTTGTTGGGGGTATATGGTGAAATTGGTAATTTGGCTTTTGCATCAAAAGCCAATGAACGATTAAAGCGGATAAAGCGAAAAGTTTGTTAGTGTCTCAATATAGTCATGCTTATGTCAGCATTCGGGGCTGCTTAGAATGTGTACAGAATTATTGGAAATTCATCACGCACAACTAATTGCTTGTTGAC